CCCTCCCCCCCATCCCCCCGTCCCCCTATATATTAGCTCTCCTGGAACACAGAGTCTTCCTCAGGCCAGAGCTAGTTTATCTACAGGATCTGTATGGGGACATCAAATGGCCTTTTTCCATATTGCACATTGTACACTATCCTACACAGACGCACTCTTTTATCTGTTACAAAACCTCCCGTAGCACTGAACGTCCTTTTGGAAAGCACACTGGATGCAGGGCAGCCCAGTTGCTCCATGGCATATTGGCTAAGTTCTGGCCAGTGATCCATTCTCAAGAACCAGATTGTCTGCTGGAAAGCTCTCCAGGTCTGCTCTTGCCCCTAGGTAATCCTGCACCATAGAATGCAGACACTGGCGATGGGTGCCTAAAGTTAACATTCCTGGGTGCCGAGGACTGAAAAAACTTCTGAAGGCATCAGTCAGACGGCCCCCTTCTCCACCGCTCTTCCTCTGACTAACCGCAGCCTCAGAAGCACCTCTTTCATGACTTGGTAACCTATCAGTGTCTGGAAAGGTGTTACACAAGTTTCTCTTCAGAGCATCCTCCAGTTGTTTCATCCTGTGCTCCCACTGTGAGGGTAGGATGAGCTCAGCAACTTTACACCTGTAACATGGATCAAGAATGTTTGCCAACCACCAGTAATGATCCCTCTCCTTGATACCACGAATCCTGGGGTCCTTTCTCAGGCTTTGCAGGATAAGGGAGCCCATGCAGCGTAAGTTTGAGGAGGCATGAGATTCCGAGTCTTCAGGGTCACTGAGGATGACACTATCGTGCACTACCTCCTCCCAGCCACGTACTACTCCTTGGGTTTCAGAAAACCCTTCCTTAAAGACTGTCTTATGTAATTCTCTGCTTCAATGCCCCCACAGCTGCCATAATCCTCCTCCTCTTGTGTGATTTGCAGATCCGCAGGAATGGTTTCTGCATAAAGGGTCCTTGAGATGTAAGGAAGTCCTCCTCTTCTTCCCACTGTTCTGCCTCAAGTTCCCTATCCATAATTCCCAGCAGAGTATGCTCCAGCAGGAACACCAAAGGGATTGTGTCACTGATGCATGCATTGTCACGGCTCACCATCCTCGTCGCCTCCTTCAGCAGCCACTGATGGGGGGGAAAAAAGCCAAGGTCCCCTGAGCCTGTCCTTGTGCCATACACACACACAGGTACTCGTTGATGGTCCTCTGTTGCTTGTGCAGCCGCTGCAGCATTGCCAAAGTGGAGTTCCACCTGGTGGGCATGTCACAAATCAGCCTTCGTTGTGGGCAGGTGGAATTCACCTTGAATTTCAGCCAGACGAACAGCCTGGCTGGGAATGAGCGCCTGAAATGGCTGCAGACTTTTCTGGTCTGCCTCAGAAGATCTTGCTGCCCTGGGTACATGGTTAAGAAATGCTGTACCCCCAAATTGAGGATGTGTGCCTAGCATGGTACATGCATCAACTTTCCCAGGCATAGGGCGGAGAGAAGGTTGCTGCCATTGTCGCATACAACCATTCCCGACTCAAGCTGGCATGGTATCAACCACCTCTGGGCCTGCCCCTGCAGAGCTGATAGAATCTCTGCCCTGGTGTGGCTCATGTCCCCTAGGCAAACCAGCTCAAGCACTGCATGGCATCTTTTAGCCTGACCTGTTGTGTAGCCCTTTGAATGCTTACGGTGAACTGCTGGTTAACTGGACAATTCTGCAGAAGAGGCCATAGTGGAGGACCGAGAGGCAGGGGTGGAGCAGACAGATCTCACATCAGCAGCTTTTTGGTGGCGTGGTGGATGAACAAGCTCCAGCACGGAGCCCTGTCCTGGATCCCTCCCAGCTGCCAGCAGAGTTACCCAGTGTCCCATGAAGGAAATATAATGTCCCTGACCATGCTTTCTGGACCACGTGTCAGCGGAAACTTCCACATGCTGGTACAGAACTGGAATGGCCTTACGTGAAAATAAATGGCGTTTGGGAACCTGCCACTGTGGTACAGCACATTCTGCAAACTCACGGAAGGGGGCAGAGTCCACCAGATGGAAATGCAGCTGTTGTAAAGCGAGCAATTTGGCCAAGCTGGCATTTAGATGCTGAGCATGTGGATGGGTGGGACAGTATTTTTTTTTTCCGCTGCAGCAGCTGGGGCAGCGAAATTTGACTGCTAAAATCTACAGCTGGTGTGTTGCTGGTAGATTCGGCGGAAGGACCTGTGACACCCATTGCTATAACATCATCCCTGTCAGTGGAGGTTGTTGACATGGCATGAGGTATAGTGGGGGTACAGATGACAGATGAGAAGCAAGGAGATGTGTGGGCCTTTCTAAGGTGATGTTGTCAACAAGCTGTGTGGCAGGTAATCAGATGTCTCTTCAAGCACGTGGTACCCAAGCGGCTGATGTTTTTGCCACGCTTGATCCGCTCGAGACTGCGGTTTTCTGCACATGTGCTGAAAAACTCCCACACAGCGGAGTTCCTGGAAGTGTGCTGTGAGACAACAGCACCCTGCACCTGTGCCAGCTCTGCCTTCTGATGCAATGGCCTGGCTGCTCATACGGCTGCCCCTGGAGGACATTGTGCCTCGTTGGGGTTGTGCCTCCTCACTTTCCTCCTCCGTTCGATCAGGCACCCAAGTACAGTCAGTGACCTCATCATCATCCCCTCTATCCTCGTCACTGGAGCCAACCTGGCAGTATGTTGCGGCTAGTGAAACATGAGTGCCAGTTCATTGTGCATTGTTGGCACCCCCTGCCTCCATGGTACTCCCTTCCTCAATCTCAGAGCCAACATCAGAGCATTGTAATTGCTGCGCATCCTCCAGCAGCATGTCACTGACGCTGTGTTCAAACAATTCAGCTGACTCCTCCATGCATGATGGTGAGGCTACAGCATTAGTAGCTGTGGACAAGGAGGCAGAATAGACCGCTTTTGGCACCTGCGGTGGACTGAGAACCAGTACGAGCCTGGGTGACAGAGGATGAGGAAGATGAGGATGGCTTAGTTATCTTGACTTGTTTAAAAGCCACAGGCTGACAAACCTTCTGGTATAAAGGTGGCCATACACTTTACAACCATCGCAAGTCCTTAGTCTTGCGATGGTTGTAAAGTAATTAACAAAACTTACGATCTGCTCATCTTGGACAGGCAGATCGTACTTGCGATCATCGCAAGCCCGCCCCCCTGAGGGGCGGGCTTCCGGTGACCGCAATGCTGGACAGGCAGTGTGCACGTGCGCACACTGGCCCGTTCGGCATTTGTCTTGACCGGCCTTCTTTTCCCACTGCACCATCTACAATACCCAGCATTTATTAGAATAGAGATGCATGCAATGCATGATTAAGGCCACATGTGGCTGAAAAGTGTTAGTGGGTTTATGATGTGAACTGTTCACCTGATATTTAATAAAAAATTGGAACATGAAGCTGTGTGTCAGAACCTAGGTTATGATCAATGCATGCAACCACCTCCTCTGTGACATTGCTTGGGTCAAGTGACCAATTGCTAGGGCTGAGCACTGTCACATAAATCAAAGCTATGTCAGTTCTCCCCCACATCACCCACACCAGTTGTTTCTGAGCGGGTTGTGGAGCTGGAAGGAGAGGCAAGGGAGCACTAGTAAGATAAGTATAGGGGTATCTGGGGGACCCTTTGCATAGGAACTCTATATTTGCTCTGCATTGAAAAGGTGAGAGTATCTCTAAAGTCTCTCACTAAGCAAGCAAACCACCCTTGCAGTGGGTCTACCCCTGCACTGCAAGGGTTAAATGCTCAGTTTGGTCTAGGAATATTCTGTAAAGGATTTCTGCTCATCCAATCCCCACTCCCCTGGCAGTCAGCACTCACCTCTGTAACCTATGCTGCAGTTTGTTAACTGTCCCTCGGCATTCTCATGTATAATGCAAGGCTACAGGCCTTGCATTTTAAGTGATGCCATCAATGGGCCTCCAACCACCGAGGAACAGAGGGGAAGCGGCTGCTGGCACAAGTCTTTGCAGCCTGTGGGAGTGGGAATCAGGTAAGCAAAAGTTATTTACAAATTACCCCTAGGCAAAACCGAGCAGTTAACCTTTGCAGTTCCAGAAGTAGCACCAATGCAAGTGTTTTAAGTAGACAACACAGTGAAGATAGAGACAAAGAAAGCTCTCCTAATCCTTCCATGGTAAAATTAATTTATTTGTGCATTTCATATAAATTGGCCAAATGTGCTCATACTGAGCATTCCCATAGACCTAATTCTATCTACATAGTATTCACTGTATCATGCTACAGCCCATGCAATAACATATATTGTTCCAACAAAAGTGCAATTAGATTTTTTTATTTATTTAAGCACTAATATAATTGCAGTTGCATTTTTGTATTTATTTATGCACTAATAAAATGTTATCTACGGTCTATTTTTCTTAGAAAGCAGATCTGTTTGTGTGTTCAAGTCTGGCCTAAAAAGAATCATAAAACATTTTGGGAAAAATATGCAACTTAGAAGTCCAGCACTTGAGACCAGTATGGTGAATACCTCCACAGCTACCATGTATTTCCCTCTGGTGCTCAGATAGGCCGGGATCATGGCAATCCAGACACTGCAGAACACCAGCATGCTGAAGGTGATGTACTTGGCCTCATTAAAACTGTCCGGTAATGTCCTCACCATGAAAGCCAGAACAAAACTCACAGCTGCCAGAAACCCCATATAACCCAACACAGAGTAGAACCCGATAACTGACCCTTCATTACACTGAATGATGATCTTGTCCAGATAAGAATAAATGTCCATTTCCTGAAACGGGTGAGATACAGACAACCAAGCAAGACATATCATAACCTGAACAGATGAAAGCAGTAATACTACAGAATTCGGAAGTTTGCTTCCAATCCATTTCCTCCAGTAGCTGCCAGGTTTGGCGGCTGTAAAAGCAATGTAAACCATGATTGTTTTGGCCAGAAGAGAGGACACAGCCGTAGAGAAGATGAGACCAAAAGTGGTGACACGCAGTATGCAGGTTATATCCAGTGGATGACCGAGGAACAAGAACACACAGAGGAAACTTAGCATGATACAGACAAGCAGGACAAAGCTCAAGCTCCGATTATTAGCTTTGACAATGGCGGTATCTAGATGGTGTATAAAGATTCCCATTATGAAGAGAGTCACAAGACAAAGCAACACAGAAATGGTTGCTAATGTTTTAGAGATATCATCAGTGTAGGAGAGAAATTCCAGAAGTTTTGGAATACACCGATCCTTCTTCTCATTCGGCCATTCATCTTCTAGACATCGAACACACTTCTCACTGTCTGCACAGAAAAGAAAACATTCTTAATGTATTTTTGTATAACGTTTATTCATTTTATAGCTGTTTAAAGTTGAAAGACTGGCTGCAAGTACCATGGTTTACTTTGTTTTTGAGTTGCTTAGGATCATTTAGCGGTCCTATATGGAGACATGTATGGAGCCTGGTCAATCAGTAGGATAGAAATAAACAAAAGGTATATAATATTGGATTTGTAGCGGGAAGGGGGTTACTAAGATGAGACATTCTCCGAGTCATAGCGAGGGGATGGTGTCTGTTGGGATAGGACACGCATATATGGATCTGCTAAGGAGTATTAAGACAAATAGAACCAAGTGATAAGACATTTTAAAGTAGCTTTTTATGCAGCTAGAGAGCTAAGCTGGCCATACACCTATAGATTATCTGCAGACTTTCTATGGCCAGATGGAAAAAGTGCAACAGATTCCTCCGTCTACGCTAAACTGTGTGGGTGGAGGAAATTCCCACTGGGCCAAGCTTCAGTATCTCGCTAGTAGGCCCCGCTGGCTGTCAAAATACCTAAACAGTCTGATTGGATGCAAGCATTGTTCAGGTATTTTGAGAGCCAGCGGGGCATACTGGCAAGATACTAAAGCTTTGCCCAGCAGGAGATTCCTCCATCCACACAGTTTAGTGTATTTGGAGGAATCTGTTGCACTTTTTGCATCTGACCATAGAAAATCTGCAGATAACCTTTAGGTATATGGCCAGCTTTAGAGAGAGTCTGCATTATTGTGATTTAATTAATTGTGTGGAAACAACTTCTGTTTTTGGAGCGTTGATTGGAGTTTCCAGGAAGCAAGGATACAGAAGTTTGTAGTGTTAACCATTGTGGATTATAACCAAGTCTGGCATGCCTTGATGGGGAGTGTTTTGTAATAGACTTGAAAAAAAAACCAATAGTTCCTTAGGTATGGGGTGCATTCAGAGTTTTGAATGATATTGTGAGGCCTGCAGATTAGGACAATGTTTAAAAACATCTCCTAGAGAGGAATCACATCCCCAGCATTGGGATATATGGAGTTTAGAACGATAGTTGTTCTGGACTCTGGTGTAACATTATCACTTTATTAGCACTGCAGCTTGCCCACTTTAGGAATTATTTATTGTTAGTTCTACTACTAGCGCGGTATACCACCTTTATCCATGTAACAACGTTATGTTTGTGTAACAATGTTTATGTTCCAGGACTTCACTAAAGTCTCTTCCATCCTATGGAACTCTTTACCCCAACCTGTCCATCAATCTCCCACTCTGACTGCCTTTAGGCGATCCCTTAAGACTCATCTCTTCAAGGAAGCCTATCCCACCTCAATCTGACCACTGAGCTATCACTTTCACAAACAATTCATCCCCACACAACTACCTCCTCATGTATCACTTGCCCCTCCCTTTTAGATTGTAAGCCCTCACGGGCACTGTAATTGAACTGTCTTCCATATTTTTTTGAGCACCAGTGAACAGAAAGGATGTCCTTGAGCTGGAAAGAGTCCAGAGGAGGGCAACCAAACTCATAAAGGGGATGGAGGACCTAAACTATGAGAACCGGCTACTAAATTTAAACATGTTCTCATTGGAAGTGAGAAGATTAAGGGGGGACATGATTTTCATGTACAAAATGTTTACCGGGGATAGCAACATTAGCAGCAAATTTTTTACAATTAACTCCATGACAAGGACGAGAGGCCACCACCTAAAACTGGTGGAGAAAAAATGTCAGCACAAGGGGCGAAGGGGGTTCTTCTCAGTTAGAGAGGTCAGGGTCTGGAACTCGCTGCCACATGCTGTGATTTCGGCTGAGAGTGTGGAATCATTCAAGAGGCGATTGGACGATTTCCTCAGAAACCGTAATATACAGGGGTACAAGTACTCTTAAGAATAAGAACAAACAGGGACCTATACATACATGCACATCAGTAGGACCATACACATACACACAAAGATTGAACTTGATGGACATGTGTCTTTATTCAGCCTCAAATACTATGTAACTATATATTGTAAAGCGCTGTGGAAACTGCTGGCGCTATATAAATCCTGTATTATAATAATAATAATAATAATGATGTTTGAATTCCTGGAATTTGTTACTGATTGATGATTTGTAGGACAAGATAAGGAGTTAGGTTCTGTCTTCAGCCAAGAATATGGATAAAGGAATCTGGCTCGGTTAAGTTCCAATCAGTTTAGATAAATCCTGCTTAAAGCCTGCACACCCCCGAACTTAGCTGCACATGGGGGCTGAATCTTGTTATTCTAGTCTGTCCATTTTCTATTACAATTATCTTGGCTTTCATACGACAACCACCCACAATATGATTCATTGCAGTACGCAAGAATTTAAGTGAAAAAAAAGTGTAGGGCTTCTGTATCTTGTAAAGGGGAAAGAGGTGCAAAGTATCCCTGTCCCAATGTGGATGGACAAAAGCCTCTTACCCACTTCCAGTGCTCCAAGAAAGAGTTGGAGGTAGTAAAAGGGAGACTTAATGACAGAATCTGAAAGCCTGCTTTATAATAATTACATGACAAGGGCATTGTATACAGCTCCTGTTGGTCAAATAACCTCCAACAACTAAATTCAATGATAACTCTATTAATGAATGACACAACACAGGTCTTGGATTTTTAGTGGCCACAGCAGCCATTTTATTATTTAGTGCCAAAGGCAAATTTAACCATTGTAACAAATTGTAACAAACTAACTGACCGCGGGAGTTAAGGTCCTTGACGTGATATCCATCACCAAAAATACCCAGTATCTGCCCACACGGCCCCCAGCCACACAACACCGCCTCGGGGACTTGTAGTCTTACATCAGATACTAAGTAACTAGTGATGGACCCGTTAAGACAGGGATGCCATACCAAAGACGGCTCCCCACTGTCACTTAAACCTCAAGCAAATATGTTGCACCTCAAGGACCCTAATACCCTGCCCGGCTGCAAGTGACAAGACAACATGATAAAACAGAGAGAAAAAAGGACAAAGTAGAAACAAGAGAAACACAAGGCAACGAATCAAATACGACCAATGGGGCGGGAGGGTGGGAAGCTGCTTCCACGCTGATGACCCCACCGAGACTGACCTTTCCTTCCCAAGGGGCCACCTATCCTCCTCCTCCCGGGACCCTGACCAATCAGGTAAGTGACACCACCCAAAATCCCTTAAGATAATAATTTAACTCTATCTAAACCCTGTTCGCCTCTTCAAGACCCTGTCATGTTGGCCCTACACAGACGCCTCCATCTGCTGTTCCTGGCCTGACTTTAGTACCTCTTATCCATTCCTACAAAGAATTACAAGCAAACAAACATACACACATTATAAAAAGTCCTTTCATTAAAATAAAACACAAAAAAATTATTAACATTCCCGGAAGTTATTTCACATTAATCACATATCCAGCAATGTAATCCATGCCAATCACTGCGTTCAGAGATGTAATTCTCTTACTCACGAGACTCTTTATTCCCACTGCTAAATGACAAATTAGACGTTCCATTGGAGTAATGTAGGCAGAGAGCCTGGAATTGCTTGCTGTCAGTCAATCTTACCACAGTCAATTAATCTGTCATTAAGTGATGGGAATATTACTTCTACCTCCTTCTTGAGGCACCGGAGGAGGAGGGACAAGGGTACTGTGCAAGAAGGGAAGGATTTTTTGCCCCCCTCCCACCATTTTGCAAAGTATCTTTCAATTTGAAAGGCATATGGCCTAGGCTGATACAAGAAGAGGGGCACACACTCAGTTCTCTCCCTTTCCTTGCCACCCAGGCTGCATGTCTGGATAAGGGCCTAAGTGGAATTTTAAGATGAACCCAAAGCTTTCTAATTCATTTTTTAATTTAAAAAATGCTTTCACTTTAAACATTATCTAACTCTGGGATTAAACTTTGCATATTTTTTAAACAATTGTATACACATCTATAGAGGGGTTCAGGGAGTTTCACTTATAAAATTAAGACACACGATGCAGCAGTGCAATGTCTCCTTAACATGGGTGACAGGGTCTACCACCACTCTGAAAAGTGATCTGTGGAGAGGGCAACTGAATGGTGGTTTGCAGGCATCCAAGAACCAATGCTGCCAACTTCAGAATGCCTTTTCTTATTGGAAAAATCATACCACAGCCTCTTGCCAAGTCCAGTTCTATTGACTTCAATTGGCGAGGAGAATTGATCAAATAAATCTCACAGACAGTATGCGAGATGAGCACCAACCACCGGGGGAGTGGGCAGCCACTTAAGTAAAGCTGCTTTACACAATCCCCTAGATGTTAATCAGCAGTTAACCATTGCAATGTTGGGGTAGCCAAACTGGAAGGGGAGGGTTTTTGTTTGCCCAGAGATAGGCTTTAAAATCTACTTTAAAAGTGTTAGGCTTTAATTTGTTAGTCACTTATGTGAAAGTCATCTAAGTCCATCTTACACTACTCTCTCCACACGTTGAGAATACTTCTGTCTAAGGGTGATACAAGGTGGATTGCCTAATGAAAATAAAAGAGAAAAACATTTTTTTTTTAAAAAGAAAACTAACGCATCCACCACATCTAAGAATTGATGAGCTGAAATATATAACATTTTTGGTTTGGGGTTTAGATACTCTTTAACATTACATTTCTGGTAGATTAAATAAATTGTGAGCAGGCAAAATCTGCCTCCAACCTAAAGGTGGGCCTGAACCTTATGCCTAGAGACCCTTTAGGGTGGAGCATTAAACAGTTATGGTCCCAGGAAACTAAATGTAACTCACAACTAGTGGAGACCTAGATTCCTGTCACCCTGGTGCTACAGTATGGGTGATGTAACTAATGCATGGGGAACGTGATCTCACATGGCCAACCACAAAGCAAGGCTACACATGGTTCTGATGTTTACATACAGTTTTGCATATAGCCATGAAATATACCGGTTGTATTGGAAATGTCTCCTTCTGAACATGGGGCACAGTCATAGCAGCAAGAATGAATTGCAGTTCCTGGTTTCTTTCTGCTTCCTGGTTGACATATTTCTGAGCACCGAGATTCCGGCATCTGACAACAAGAAACATCCTTTTAACATTGAAAAGCAAAGAATTGAAAATTATCTAAAGCCAAAACACCTACACTTTATGACTATAGGTGCATAGACATCGGACCATTACACCTTTATGAGCTTCTCGGACATCCCACTCCAGAATATAGAGTTACCCCCCTCCCCCTATTTGTGACATCAGGTACTAATGTTGGATGAGAATGTTGGATGTTGGATATCCTTGGACCCCTCCTCTTCTCATCTACACCTCCTCCCTTGGTCAGTTAATAACCTCACATGGCTTCCAATACCATCTCTATGCCGATGACACTCAAATCTATCTCTCTACTCCGCAACTCTCCCCTCAGTGTCCTTGCGTGTCACTAATCTACTAACTGACATATCGGTCTGGATGTTGCAACATCCGATATGTCAACACTTCTTAAAACTCAATCTTTCAAAAACTGAGCTCATGATATTTTCTCCTGCCCGCACACCTTCCCCCAACATTTCATGGGTATATCCTAAACTGACCATGCTGCTCCTCCATAGATATAGCTCAGTGAGTGTTCTAACCCAAAGACATGAAGGGTGTTGCTGCCAGAATCAAGAAAATGAACAAAGAAAACGAATACAGCTGCCACATCTAAGCTGCGTTCAGGGGCGGATCTACCGCCGATGCAGCTGGTGCGGCCGCCCCTGGGCCTGAGCCTAAAGGGGGGCCCAGTATCCAATGTAACACAGCCCCGGGGCAGAGATGGGGGGGGGCCCGCCGGTGTCTGGCCACCGGATAGCATCGGATCGGTATTCAGCGGACCCACCCCCCATGAAAATAAAAGAGAAAAACATTTTTTTTTTAAAAAGAAAACTAACGCATCCACCACATCTAAGAATTGATGAGCTGAAATATATAACATTTTTGGTTTGGGGTTTAGATACTCTTTAACATTACATTTCTGGTAGATTAAATAAATTGTGAGCAGGCAAAATCTGCCTCCAACCTAAAGGTGGGCCTGAACCTTATGCCTAGAGACCCTTTAGGGTGGAGCATTAAACAGTTATGGTCCCAGGAAACTAAATGTAACTCACAACTAGTGGAGACCTAGATTCCTGTCACCCTGGTGCTACAGTATGGGTGATGTAACTAATGCATGGGGAACGTGATCTCACATGGCCAACCACAAAGCAAGGCTACACATGGTTCTGATGTTTACATACAGTTTTGCATATAGCCATGAAATATACCGGTTGTATTGGAAATGTCTCCTTCTGAACATGGGGCACAGTCATAGCAGCAAGAATGAATTGCAGTTCCTGGTTTCTTTCTGCTTCCTGGTTGACATATTTCTGAGCACCGAGATTCCGGCATCTGACAACAAGAAACATCCTTTTAACATTGAAAAGCAAAGAATTGAAAATTATCTAAAGCCAAAACACCTACACTTTATGACTATAGGTGCATAGACATCGGACCATTACACCTTTATGAGCTTCTCGGACATCCCACTCCAGAATATAGAGTTACCCCCCTCCCCCTATTTGTGACATCAGGTACTAATGTTGGATGAGAATGTTGGATGTTGGATATCCTTGGACCCCTCCTCTTCTCATCTACACCTCCTCCCTTGGTCAGTTAATAACCTCACATGGCTTCCAATACCATCTCTATGCCGATGACACTCAAATCTATCTCTCTACTCCGCAACTCTCCCCTCAGTGTCCTTGCGTGTCACTAATCTACTAACTGACATATCGGTCTGGATGTTGCAACATCCGATATGTCAACACTTCTTAAAACTCAATCTTTCAAAAACTGAGCTCATGATATTTTCTCCTGCCCGCACACCTTCCCCCAACATTTCATGGGTATATCCTAAACTGACCATGCTGCTCCTCCATAGATATAGCTCAGTGAGTGTTCTAACCCAAAGACATGAAGGGTGTTGCTGCCAGAATCAAGAAAATGAACAAAGAAAACGAATACAGCTGCCACATCTAAGCTGCGTTCAGGGGCGGATCTACCGCCGATGCAGCTGGTGCGGCCGCCCCTGGGCCTGAGCCTAAAGGGGGGCCCAGTATCCAATGTAACACAGCCCCGGGGCAGAGATGGGGGGGGGCCCGCCGATGTCTGGCCACCAGATAGCATCGGATCGGTATTCAGCGGACCCACCCCCCATCTCTGCCCCAGGAGTG